TACAGCGTGTGGTACTGCCACTGGCCACGGGACCGGTACAGCGTGGCGCTGGCCCCGTAACGTGTCACTCGCAACCCCGGTACCGCGTGCGGTAGGTTCCGTAACATGCTACGGTAACTGGCACTGGCGCACGGGCCCGTTACAGCGTGTGGTACTGCCACTGGCCACGGGACCGGTACAGCGTGTGGTATTGCCACTGGCCACGGGACCGGTACCGGCCCCTGGCACGGAGCCAAGACGGTTCAACTTCTAAGAGCAAACGATCAGCAGACTATCCGGACGGTCGCGGAGCCGACAATCGGAGGGCCCCTATCATCTGCTTGTCACAGGCAAGAAATTAGCTATATATGTAGTCAAGCTATACATTTATTTATTTATTTATTTTTTAGTGATGATGAAATGACATGCAGCCTTACGAGCTGCGAACCGACGCCCCTTAGGCCCGAGCCCTGCGGTTGAGCAATTGAACCAGACCATCTTACCAGGGGCCAAGTCCCACTAGCAGCGTTGAGTTTCCTCAACGCCTGAATCTGTACGTGTGTTTGTGGAGATGTGCAGTTGAGGAAAGTCATCGCCATCTCTGCACATCTCCACAAACTCATCCACATTCAGGCGTTGAGGTAACTCAACGCTGCTAGTGGGACTTGGGGCCCCCAGCAGCACCTCCGAAAGTCGCGAGCCTCGACGTGCTGGGCCGAACGGGCCTGGAGGCTCCGGTCCAGACTCATGCAAGTGGAAACCCCTTTTGTAGGCTCTATTTCGCGCCACGGGCGATGTATGGGCGAGGTCCCATGCTTCATTGGCGGCCCTGGGGCGAGGTCCTAGACCGTCTTACAAGGCCTGAAACTGGATGTGTTTTAGCCAGAAAAGCGAGATCAATGGCCGTTATCTGCAGCTCGGCACAAACACGTCGATCTTGGGGCCTCAAATCCAATCCTGCAGCCACGCCCCTGGCATCTTAGGCAAATCGTGTCAAGGAAGCAGCGAAGAAGGCGGGGCGCAACCTGACCATCAAGAAGCGTTCTCCATTTTCTTTTCTGTTTGAAAGCCCATCCATCAAACCAACCCGAGACTGCCGTCTTGTCCCGAATAGAACGCACACCCATTATCCGTGTCTGACATAAAGTTTGGCCAACCCCAGCCTCTCTCTCTGTGTGTGTGTGTGTGTGTGTGTGTGTGTGTGTGTGCGTGCGGTAGGTGTGCGCGTGTTCACGTCGTTCTCTGACCGCTCAAAGTGTGTTGACGTCTGACATAAAGTTTGTCCAACCCCAACACCCCCCCCGCTCCTCTGCCGCTGATCACGACTTGCGCTTCTGAAGGTTTTAGATGATAAGGCAGCGCACACGTGTCCTCTCAAAGTGTGTTGACGTCTCATCATCTTGGAATTCCAAGTGATCGCGCTCGCGCTTGAAAGCATGTTGGCCATTGGTTGACACTAATATTCCCTCCTTACTTCCCTGAGGCTCTGTCCCTCCCTTTCTCCCCTTTTCCCTCCCGTCCCGTCCCCTCCCCCTTCTTCCCTTCGCTTTTTCTTCTTTCTTGGATCGTTCCATGGCAGGCTCGACAGACGATATGGGACTGGCCGGGCCTGAGGACAGAGTCACACAGTTCCTTGGCCGACTGCCGGATGATGTCAGAACACGAGTGACGGCTCTTCAGGCCATTCAAGCTGATCATGACAGTCTGGAGAGTCGGTTTCAAACTGAGGTGGCAGCGTTGCAGCGCAAGTACGAGCAGATGTACGAGCCTTTCTATAAAGAGCGGTCGAAGATTGTGATGGGCAGCAGCTGCAGTGAGGAGGGAGGAGAAGGGGGAATGGGAGTGGGAGTCGGAGCCCAAGGGGCTCTGCAGACTGCAGCTACTACTAGTACCTCACGTGGTGTGCCTGATTTCTGGCTGACCGCCATGAAGAATCACCGACCTATCAAAGTGCATATCAGAGAGAGAGACACAGAAGCCCTCAAGTACCTTCGAGACGTTCGTTGGAGCCGTCTAAAGGGTACTACCGGTAGTAGTGACAATGCTCAATCTCTCTCTCTCTCCCCATCTCACTCTCACTTCCACTCTTTCAAGCTGGAATTTGAGTTTGCCCCCAATCCCTTCTTCACGAACGACGTACTCTCTAAGACATACTACATGGAAGAGCAGGAAGGGGATGCTGTGCTTGCCCGTGCCGTTGGCACTGCGGTCGACTGGAAAGAAGGACATAACCTGTGTGCAAATGCCAACGCTTGCAAGGGAGGAGATCCCAGAAGAACTGGCTCTGTGAAGTCTTCACCACAAAAGCACCTCGATGGAATGGGCCTGGGCCTGGGACTGGGCCTGGGCCTGGGCCTATCTAAAAATAGCTTTTTCGCATTCTTTAACCCGCCAAAGATTCCTGATGACGATAGTTCGCTCGATGAGTATGAAGCGATGGAGTTGAGGGAGGCATTGGAAGAGGACTGTGAGCTTGGAATAGCAATCAAGGAACATTTTATACCCCGGGCCGTCTCTTGGTATACTGGGGAGGCGATGGTGGAAGACGAAGAGGAGGAGGAGGAGGAGGAGGAAGACGAGGAGGAGGAAGACGAGGAGGAGGAGGAGGAGGAGGAGGAAGACGACGAGGAGGAGGAGGAAGACAATGGCAAAAGGAAGAAGAATGATGAGCAGGAGAAAGGAGTGTCATGAATGATAATTTGAGAGAGAACGAAGAGAAGAGCACAAGTAACGAGGGTTCACAGCCACACACACACACACACACACACACACACACACAAACACGAGAGGAGGTCATCAACTTACGGATCAATGCCTACCGTACCACCGTCTTGCCCCAAATATAACGCACCCTCGTCACGACCGTATCGGACAAAAAAAAAAAGCCTGTACGCAGTCGTAATCAGGGTGCATCATGTTCGGGGAAACACCGTAGTGTGAAGTAGGCGCACTAGTATCTTAACCCAGTAGCAGCGGAGGAGGAGGAGGAAGAGGAGGAAGAGGAGGAGGAGGAGGAGGAGGTGGATGAGGGGGAGGAGGAGGAAGAAGAGCGTGTGGTCTCGGACGAGCAAGGTGTTCATTTTTTAACATGTAAGAGGAACATGAAGTACATACATGGAGTAGTTTCATTGAGGACCAGATCGTTCTTCTGGTTCTAAGCCCCTGCTCAGTCTCAGTCACCGCGAACCTATATTATGCAGTCGTGAATCTGGCCAGGTTCAGAGGTTGCTTCAAGTTTACCACAAACAGAGCACCTTCTCCATCTGGATCAGGCCCGTGAGTAATCAGTACTCTGCGTTACTTGTTGTGGTCAACAAGTAATCGAAACTCTGGAAGTTGTTCTCAGCAAAGCTGTTAATACTACTGCCCGTCTTCCCCCGAACAGAACGCACCCTCACCGTAAATGAATACAAGCCGTATTTCCGGTCCGATACTCACGATGCGGGTGCGCTGTATTCGGGGGAAGACGGGATTTCATGCAAAGTTGTAAGAAGTTGTAAGAAGTTGTAAGTTTCTGCTAAGTATTAGTACACCGTGGAACGCGTAGTTCTCTCAGACTGCAAAGTTGGTAGTACTTCCGTCTTCCACCGAATACAACGGACGGTCATTATAGCTGTATTGAAAGCATCTTTCAGTCTAGATACAGCTATAATGACCGTAGGTTGTATTCGCGGGAAGAAGGTAGGTAGGTGGTTTCCCTTTTTTTTCTAACGAAGAAGTGATTTCGACCTGCCTCCAACGACCCATGCGTTTTGCATCGTTATGCAAGTACACATAGTGGCAAGCTCTCTGCAAAACGTTGGGTGGTATTATGTACGACATAGCACTACTACGGTAGTAGTACCAAGTCCTGTGAAAGCGTAGCACTAATACTATGTACTAGTACATAGTTGTCCCCAAAAACTATACGTAGTATAATATCTACTAAGTGCTCTGCAAAGTTGGGTAGTAACCGTACCGTAGTATTACGTAACTCTACTGTAGTAGTGCTTGCTAAGTCCTGTGAAAGAGTAGTAATACTACTATGTACTATGTACTATGTACTATGTACTATGTAAGAGTAGTAATAGTACTATGTACTAAAGTACTATGTACTAAAGTACTATGTACTATGTACTATACTATGTACTAAAGTACTATGTACTGAAGTACTATGTACTATGTACTATACTATGTACTAAAGTACTATGTACTATGTACTATGTACTACGTACTTGTCTGCAAAGGTGGGTAGTATTATCACTAGTACTCTTTCACAGGACTTAGTACTAGTGCTATGTGGGACATAATACCACCCACCTTTGCGGACAACTACGTAGTACATAGTACATAGTACTATTACTACTCTTTCACAGGACTTAGCATTGCCAAGCACTCCTAGTGCTACGTCGTACATAATACTACCCAACTTTGCAGAGCACTTAGTACATATACTAACGTAGTTTTTGAGGACAACTATGTACTAGTACATAGTACTAGTGCTACGCTTTCGCAGGACTTGGCACTTCCGGTAGTGCTAGTTCTCCGCGAAGTAGGGTAGTATTACGTACACTACGTAGCACGAGTACTAAGTCCTTGGAAAGAGTAGTAGATTGCTATAGTACTATGCAGTGCATTTAGTTGTCTGCACAGCTGGGTAGTATACCTATCCCTAGTTCGGTTAGTAGCGTAGTATGCAATATTGCGCTCTGCTAAGTAGTAGTACTAAGTACTATACTATGTCCTACGTAGCACTAAATACGACCTTCTGCGAAAGAGTTACTGTGGTAATATGTACAGTACTAAGCTCAGTAAGCTCTGGTAAGTGATGTTATGTACCACATAGTACTAATACTTAGTGCTGAGAAAGAGTAGTAATATGTATAATACTTAGTACTGAGAAAGACGTATTACTAGTAGTATGTACCAAGAAGTACTGTTCTAAGTTCTGCGAAAGAGAGTAGTCATATGTACTATGTACTATGTACTATGTACGATGTAGTACTAAGTTCTGGTGGAGAAGGACCGTGCTACTTTGATTGGCCCCACTATTTTTGACAGCCTCCCAGAGGAGGGGGGGAAGGGAGGGAGGAAGGGAGGAAGGGAGGAAGGGAGGAAGGGAGGAAGGGAAGAAGCGAGGAAGGGAGGAAGGGAGGAAGGGAGGGAGTGGAACACCAGTACGCTGGACCCTATTATTTTGCTGAATCTGAGAAGAAATGTAAATCTGTTGATGCGTGTACGAGAAGCAGTCTATGGCCACTGTTTCCACTATACCAACACTGGCCTTCCCAGCGTGAGTGGTGGAGTAGGTGGCTGATTAGCAGAAGCGGACTGATGACAACGCAGCTGGCTTTTTTGTGTTAAGCTTATATTGGTCAGCTTCTCCCCTGCCTGCCCTCCTCCTCCTCCTCCCCCCCCCCCCCCTTCTTTACAGAGCCCAGGTGATAGGTGGCCTTATCATTTCACCACTGTGCAGATTGCCCGTGTGCAGGTGCGTTAACTTTCAACCTACTTTTTGAAGGAGAGGGTGGGAAGTGGGGGGGCGCGTGGAGGGGTGTGGAGGGGTGTGGAGGGGTGTGAGGGGGTGTGAGGGGGTGTAAGGGGGTGTGAGGGAGTGTGGAAGGGGGAGCATGCGGGAACGTGTCCTGTACCAGCCTTCATTGAATATCTAGAGATATAGATAGATAGATAGATAGATAGATAGATAGATAGATATTTGGGAAAGTATGCATCCCTACTACTAATTAGCATCGTATCTGCCTCGGAATCAGTTCAGATCCATTTGCAATATGACCTGCTTTACCCTTCTTTTCCAGAAGCAGCATGACCATGATCCTCTTTAACGGCAGAAGGATGCACACCACCCTCATCCCCATCATCATCATCATCATCATCGTCATCATCATGACTCGTCATCATAATCGTTGTCATGAACTGATGCAGCTCTTCCTGATGATGATGACGATGATGAATGATGATGATGAGGATGATGATGATGATGATGATGATGATGATGATGATGACGATGATGATGATGAATATGAATATGGTGACGAAGCAGAGATGGTCAAAGTCAAAGCAGCTTTGACTTTGACGAAAGTAGACACCGGAAAAACGAGGAAGAATGAGAACCACCACCCCGCCAAACTACAGTCTTCACCCGAATAGAACGCCCGGTCATTATCGCTGCATCTGGACTGCAAGTTGGGCCAAATGCAGCTATAATGACCGGGCGTTCTATTCGGTTGAAGATGGTAGCCTGCGTGAGCTGAGGGAATAAAAAGAAAAAACAGTGTGGGCGTTGATGAGGCGAGTAACGTGTGAGGGGTATTCAGGCCCATGACCCTTGGGGGGATCTGGTCAGATACATTTGGTAGGGGAGAGGAGGGTGGGAGTAGAGAGGAAGGTGGGGGGGACAAGGTGGCGTGCGAAGGGAAGAAGGGGTCACATACATTATATCTAATTATTATATAATTTTTAGGGCAGACTCACGCACTGACGTTCTTCGACGTATCGGACCGCAATTGCAGCCAAAGCCGGTCCTAGAAGTCATTTTGTGAGGATGGCCCTAGATCCCTTACCCGGCTTCGTTACCTTGTATATCCCAATGCTTTTGTGACCTCTCTCTCTCTCTCTCTCTCTCTCTCTCTCTCTCTCTCTCTCTCTCTCTCTCTCTCTCTCTGTGTCTCTGTGTGTGTGTGTGTGTGTGTGTGTG